TTTCTTTTTTTTTTTTTAATCAGAATTGAACTCAGGGGCACTTGACATTGAGCCACATCCCCAGCCCTATTTTGTATTTTATTTAGAGACGGGTGCCAATGTCTCGGCTTGGCACTGAATCATAAGCCACTCACAGCTTTGTAGATTTAAACAGCAATTCTTTATTCCCGAATTCACACCAGCCTCCACACACGTTCAGGGGAAATCTCAGTTCTGCCCGCACAATTCACCTACTCCACGAGGCTTTTTTCCAAATCCTTTTTGAATCTCAGAGAACTCAACGGGAACTCAAGCAGCAGGAACGCCCTATTCCCAGCAGCAATAAACTTAAACCTGGAACTTCCTTAAAACCCATATAGTCTTAAACCGGAACGCCTTAAACTTGTCTTAAACCTGGAACGCCTTAAGCCCAAGGACGGGATACTCCCTAAAACCTGATCAGCTCTAAACCCGGATCCGCCCGGGTCCTTGAGCAAGGTCACCTTACTAAAGCATACATGCAATGTCCCAGCGAATGTCCTCTAAGCAACATGGGGTACGCTGGCAAGGAAATTTCGATGCGTCAATCCTACTTGGCAATGGCCCTCAGCAGACGGGGTCTCATTGAGTTGCTTAATAGCCCTCGCTTTTGCTGAGGATGGCTTTGAACTCAAGATCCTCCAGCCTCAGCCTCCTAAACTGCTGGGATTATAGGCTGTCATTTTTAAATAGTACGTTAGTTAGAAAAGTAGAGTAAGGAAAGCAGGAAAAAAAAATCATATGAAAAGACACCAGAACTCTTCTTGATTACAATCCCATTGTGTAATTTTTGAAATTATAAAGCTCCTTGAATATATTCTCTAGCCAGGATGGCCTCATCTTTCCTTAGGATATAGACATATACCTAGATTATTTTTTCAAAATGTTCTTGATGAAAAAGAAACAAATCAAAGGTCCTTATTCCAACAATACAGGATTTCCAAGCCAGTGACCCTGATAAGATTTGTGAGACCCCTTTACCGGCAGGAGTTACCTTGGGCCTGTTCCCTGGTCTGTCCCTATGACCCTGGCAAAGCTCCAGCCCTTTGTGTCAGGAAGAGAGAAGGAGATCGAGACCTGGGAAGGCTCTCATGTCCTTTGCTAAGAAGCTATGGTGGCAGAGGTGGCTCGAAGCCTGTGCCAAATGGCTCCTCCTGGGTAGTTTGGAGTGACCATGCTTAGAGTCCCCCGGATGCATTGGGGTATAGTGGTGGTAATGTCCATTTTAGGAATGGCGACTCTCTTCACCTTCTCACACTCCCGCCTTCACCCTCTCTCTGGGGTGGAGAAGATGTGTGGCACTTGAATGCAGGGTTGCTCTTTCTCCAACATCCAGCCAATGACCCCTTGCTCCTGCTCTCTCCTCCATCTGGAATTTCCTCCCAGAAGCCGCGTCTGACCAAAGCCTAGGCCTGTGAGTTGTCCCCCTGGTCCCACACCCTCCTCTCAACAGTGTGACTTTTCCTTCCTCTGCTGTCAATTCAGTCTGTGTACACCTCACTCATGGCACATGAACATTCTTCTTTTGAGTTTTCTGTGTCTGTGAAGAAATACTAATGGGTTTGGAGTCGGCATCCTGGGTTCATATCCTGGTGCAGGAACTCACTGTCTTAGTGATATTGAACGAGTCCGCTAACTTCTCTTGGACTCCGTTTCCTTTTCTGAGAAATGGGAGTTACAGCTTCCTGGGTGCATCAAGGGTTGGACAGGAAGGAACTCAGTCAACAGCAATGTCATTATTTCTCTTCTCTTTACCTTTCCTCTGAGCTACTTAAGGAAAGGGGCCCTTTCTTGCTCATGGCTATTACTTCTAGCTATTGACACATCGTTGTTTCATTCCTAATAAGAGCTCCTCTTCATCAAGTATCACCATTCTATGCATTAATTTAATTCTTCCAATAACCCTAAAAGGTAGATACTACTATTAGACCCCTGTATGGAGGAAAAAACAAGTAGTTCCTAGAGCGTCCAGAAATGAATGAATGAGCAAGTGAACGAAGGGGGGTTGAATGGGACCAAACCTGCCTGCCAGGGACGAGTCACTGCTGCGGAATAATAAGCATTAACACCCCCCACATTCCAGTCTCATGTCACCACCCGGTCCTGTCCCGCAGGCAGTACTACGAGATGCTCTACAACACGGCCGACGAGCTCCTGAACCTGGTGGTGGACCAGGGCGTCAAGTACACGGAGCTCGAGTACATCCACGCCCTCACCCTGCTGCACCGCAGTCAGACCGGCGTCGGGGACCAGAGCACCCAGAACACGCGGCTGCAGCGGCTCAAGGAGATCATCTGCGAGCAGGCGGCCATCAAGCAGGCCACCAAGGACAAGAAAATAACCACGGTGTAGGGGCCCTTCCCTCCGCCAGACCCGCGCCCCCTTCAGCTTAGTTTGTCCTCACTGAGAGCTAGCAGAAGCCGGGCTGAGGGCTTTTTCTTTAGTCTTGGTTTTCCACAGGAACTCCAAAGGAAGTTTGCAGTACCCATGTCGCCAGGTAACAGGGATTTTAACGCATTCTGTTCTGCAGGGGCTGGGGAGGGACAGGGGGAGGGCACATCAAGCTGTTACAAGCTGAAAAACAAAAGAATGAATTTGTGACACTCAGTAATGTCTGATTACCAGCATGTAAACTTCCACCTTGGGAAGTAGACTGCCACCTAAGTTTTAGTCCCTTTCTACAACCACTTAATGGGGTTCTCCGACATGAACAAAAAGATTTTTATCCCCTTTAGAGCCTGATGAAATAAGTGTATGCTCACTGCTTTCTGACTCTGTTGCCAAAATTAAATAAGTGGCTTCTCAGCTGGCTGTGACTTCCAACAAATTTCCCCCACCCAAACAGGAACTCTCCAGGGTTAGAAACAAATGCCCTTTATCCACATGGCTGAGCAAACTTGTATGCTGTAGCTTGTACACGGGGTATTGGTTGGTTTGTTGCCTTTTTCTTTTATTTTATTAAAAAAAAACCATAAAATTAGTGACAAATCTGGAAGAATGAAAGGCAATTCAACCCTCTGCCTGGTTTTCTCCTCTAATTTCCAAGAGAAAATAAGGGTTAGAGAATGTTCCTTCTCACTCAAAATTTGGGGGATAGTGATCCTGAGGTCCTCACTTGTCCTCCTGCCAGCACCTCAGTCTTTCTCACCTCAGAAAGCAGCCCAGGTCTGCTCAGCTGAGTGCCAGGACCATGAGACAGCTGTGACCTTTCTCCTCTGTGCAGCCACCTGAGCCTGTTTCTAATTGCTGTTCTGTGGCATGGGTGGGCACTCCCTGTGTTCCTGGCCCACTGGACCAGACCTTACCATTGTCCCCAGGCTCCCAAATCTTCTGCCTGCCCATGCCTCGTGTGTCACCAGAGGCCACAGTCACTGACTGGGTGCATATTGAACACATAAGAGCCAGAAGGACTTGAATGTGCAGGGTCTCTCACCTTGTGCCCTGGCGTGGGGAGCTTTATGCCTGTTTGTAACAACTTTGGTCTTGATGGAATAAACAGAAAATTAAAAGATGGTTTGAGAAGCTTAAATGTTGTGTGTTGCTTTTCTTATATTGTTCACTCAGCAAACATTCCCTGAAGGCCAGGTATGTGTCAAGCCACCGGGCCCTGGGCACATATATAAAGAGGACATCCTTATTATGGCAGAGTGTAGGAGCTGCACTCACTCAGATCCCACCAACCTCTGCTCAAGACTAAGCCAGAAACAAGGCCTGCCAGTGCAGCAGCTCTGCAGGGACCCAGATGCAGACTGCATGGTGGCCTTCCACAGGCTTCTCAGGGAAGGAATGTGACAGAGCTCTGTAGTTCAGAGGCCTGGCTGGAAACAAGTTGAATCTGTGTAGGAGAAAGCTGTGGGAAAACAGGGTCCTCCACAAGGTCATTGGCATTGGTGTCCCCAGGAAGGAGGAGGCCAGTGGAGTGGGCCACTTTTGTTTGTAGTGGCCTCCCTCTATGCCTTCTCTTCTCTTTCCTGTCCTCTCTAGGGGGAGAACCTGAGTGTTGCCAGAAGAGCCAGGGGAGGACTGGGGAGCGCCTAGGAGAGCCTCCCTGGATGTGGGGAGAGACAGACGTTTGGGTCGATTGAGTAGAATGCCAAAAACACTGAGAGCCAGCAGAAAAACGGCCACAGAGCTGCTTCAGGGCAGCATTTAGGGAAGTGGAACCCTTACTGTGCTTACAATAATGATGCAATTGAAACGTGTCAATTCTGAACAGAAAAGGGAGTTCGGTGATCTTTGTGCAAGACATTCCAGACACAAATTTCTTGAAGGTTGGAACATCAGTCTTTATTCTTCAAAAGGTTAAGAATCCCCAGTGATGCATTCAGGGGCTGGTTGAATGGATACAGCTGGAGATGGCAGGAGTGTCTTAAATCTGCCATCACTAGGGACAGTGAAGGTTTAATCATGTTATGGCCCCGCTTCGGAGGTATTTGTGAGACAGGTTTTGCACTGTTCACAGCTATGACTGAAAAGTGCTCCAGAGAGCCAGAGTCCACCAAGGACAAGCCTCAACATATACACACACTGACATGTAACCACAAGAGTCACATTCTCCCAGGAAGGCCACCCTCTAGATGTGCAGTTGCAGCTAAAAAGATCAACAAAATAGTCCTCACCAAAGGGGCACCAAAAATAAACCATATTCTCATTCCTGGTTTTCTTTTTCCTTTTTCTTTTTATGTATGTCTGCATGTATTGAGAAAAGGTGTCACTGTGTCACCCAGGCTGGTCTCAAACTCCTGGATTTGAGTGTTCTCCCCCCCCCACCCCCCCCAACCTCCCAAGTGCTGGGACTGCAGGCAGTCACCACCACACCCAGCTCCACTTTCTCCCTACACAGAAGGGACAAGTAGAACAATATACAGCTGGCCCAAACAGTGCTCAGGTTCCAAATCTAGGGATTCAGACAACTGTGGACTGAAAATACTCAGGGGGAAAAAAAACACATGTGTACAAACAGGACAGACTTCTTGTCCCGTCATTATTCCCTAAACAAAACCGTACCACTGTTTACATGTTATTCACATCACATTAGGTATACAAGTAATCTGGAGATGGTTTAAAGTTTATGGGAGGATGTTTGTAGGTTATAGGATAATAAAGCCACTCCATACCAACTTACTGGAATGTCTTCAGATTTGGGCATCCAGAGAGAGGGGCCCTAGAACCAACCTCTTGCAGATATAAAGGGATTACTACAAGGGGAACACTGTCTATAGCACTAGTCACAGATCATGGAGAAGGCTCCCGTGACTAGGCAGGGTCCTGAGATGGCCATAGACATAACCATGAAAGAAGGAAGGCTTTGGTTGTATCACCCAGCCTGGTGGTGATACAACAGTAGTTTGAGAAAACTAACTTCTCTGGTCACTATTGTCTACTCTACAGTGCTTCACAAGTTTTTCATTTTGTCCCCACAACAAACCTGTGACCTAAATAATACTTTCCTTTCTATCATACCCAAGGGATCAGAAACTACTAGAAGCTTCTCTCTCAACTTAGCTACCTTTAGAATAAATTTCTTTAAAAAAAGAAAAACCAATTTAACAGATTAGATGCAGTTCTTAACTGGCAAATTGTGTTCTCGGAACTGCAGGTAGTAGTTGCTGCTGCAGGGTTTTGTGGGGTTTTTTTTCTTGTTACTTTTAGCCGTCTTATTATCACCTGTCAGTACCCCCTTTTAATTTATAAACAAAATTACGCTTTGGTGCTATTGTGCCCTTTACCCCATGAGCACTCCTTGAAAATACCTGGCCTATGAACACAGATACTTCCAGGGCTTTGATCCTTGTGCAGTATTTTTACAGCTACATCAAAATCTTAAATCTTATTTCCCAATTAGAACTTTCTCCCCTTCACGCTAATGTCCCTGCTGATTGGACAAGTGTACCTTCCTCAAGTTGCCCTTGCCTGAAGCAGACAATTCCTGCTTCCAAGCCCTGAAAGACAAGTTTGTTTCTGAGTGGATCCAAATCAGCTCAGATTAAGGGCGAGGGCCAGGCCTGAGCTCCTACAGCCCATGCTCTTGAGACAGGCATTCACAGAATGAGTGGTGGGACCCTCATCCTGAGTCACTGCATTCAGCAGAGTGACCCAATTGACAGAAGCCCCAGCCCCTCTCCAGGACTGCCTTCTTACTAAATGTTTTCAGCACCTCACAGTCACAATCTCGTGCTTCAAACAGTTTGGGAGGAAAAACAACAGTCAAACTGAATTGGCAACCAAACCCTAATGACTCCTGCTGTCAAGTCATATGCACAGATTTCTTAGCACTGATGCATTCATTCAGTAAGTCAGGAAGATATAATTGCCTGTTACAGCTCAGGTGGTGTGGGATTCATGCAGTCGCAAGCCAATGAGACAGGCCTTGTGACATGGAGCTTATATACTTCCATCTGCTTCTTCAAGCCACCTCTTACAGAATTCATATTCTCAAAGACTGCCCTTTCATTTAGCAAGATATTTCATAGGATTGACTGAAATGTTCAGCCTAACCTCCTGCTGCTCTCTTCTGAGCTCTGCTTTTCTATAAGCTTGGGACTGTCACTATTCATGTGCCCTTGCAGGCTAGCACAGCCTGGCATTTCACCCTTTACCATTCCTTGGTAAAGCAAATGGATCTCCACCTCATAGGCTCTATGAATGGACCAAGGCCACTGCATCCAAGATTCTTGCACTGAGGCATAACTACTGCTGCCTCCCCAGGATCAGGACACAGAAATTTCCCAGGAAATAATGAAGGAGAACAGAGTCCACCCCCAGGGCTAGCAAGCCCAAGCTAGATTTACTCCATTTAGGGTAAATGTGATCAAAAGACCCCAAAAGGTGACTGTCCTAGTAGGATATAAACACAAGGAGAGTCCTGGTCAACAGAATCTTGCTTGAAAAGCAAAGTGTTGAAATATGCACACCTGAGAGCAATCGCCTTAATGTGGCAGGGATGTAAAACAAATTGGGCATAATTTGGAGGGAGGGTAATGAGGTACGGAGAACAAGAAAACATAAAGAATCACTAGGCTCGGCAAAGGTCTCAACTCTGTCCTAATTAGGCACAGTTGTTATAAGAAGTACATAATTAATAAGCATATGACCAGATGTGAAATACAGCGGTTTTTTTTTTTTTCCTGAAATAGAAGTGGTAATGAACTGTACACAGCTGGAAGCAGTTGTCCTAATTTGGCTGCGGCAGAAGGCCTGCCTGGGATTTTGAAGAGATGTAGTAAGATGCACGCCACAGGTTTACACCTGAACCAGCTAATCCTATTCCAACTGGGCTGGAGTGTAATGAGATAGAGCTAATTATCAAGAGTGCAATGAGACGCAAAAGCCATTGGAGCTGAGCTGGAAGTTTCTTTAAAAGTGAACTAAGATGCAAACACCAGAAAAGACTTTCTGCTAAGGGAGCGAGGCAGGCGAGACTGTGATGGAATGCACAGGACGTGCCGGGTGGGGATGGGGAGCTGTAACATACCTGAGCCAAAGATGCGTCTGTGATTAAAAATATCGCCAGGACATTCACACACCTGCAGCAGGAGCTCCTGGGATCCCAAGAATGTAATGACCTGTAAAAGCCAATCCCTGCTTTTTTTAAATGAATATACAGCTCATGTGTGTACACACAACTGAAAAAAATAACAAGTCAAGGTGCTTTCAGGTGAGTGGAGTTCCCATTACACATGATCCCATTTAGAAATGTGGCCTGAGATTCCTGCTGACTTAGCAACACTCTAGGAGAAACCTGACTCCGAACAGAAAAGCCAGGCTGAGTTCTCTTTCCCAGGATTTATTTACTGTGAGAGATCAGGAAACCATTAGCAGCCAGGTTTGGTTATTGGTTTTATTTTATAATTGCCATTATATTATTTTAAGCACCAGTTCTTGAACAATTGAGTGTCAGATGCTGTGCTAAATCTATCACATCATTTCATTTCCTCCCCACCATGAGCCTGTGATCTCCTTGGTTTTCCGAGGAAACCAAGGCTCATGTTAAGGACCTCGCCCCACATCCAGTAAGCGGCCATGTTCTGCCCAGTACCAGAGTTCAAGCTCAGAGTCCCTCTCTGTGTTCTCTGTTCTGAGCCAAACTTGTGTGTCTCCCTGAGCTGCAGCTGATGTTCTCTGAAAGCTGACTCCCTGTTTCCTCTGTCCTCTCCTGTGGCCCCTCGAAGGAGCCATCCTGGACCAAATGTGAAGCTGCCCCTCTCCACCCTCCTTGGCCTCGGCTGCCTGAGCCCACCCTGTGGCGGTGCATCTACAGGAACCCTGGAAACAAGCCGCCGAAGCTGCAGGGCCGAGTCCCAGAAGGTCCACCGAAGCAATTCAGCAGTGTTTTGTAGACTTGGTAAGAGTAGATCATGGAAATGAGAGGACGCTGGGCATGAGCTGGCCGGGAAACAGGCAGGGCCTTCTGTGGGCTTCGTGTCGCACACCTTCATCTTCAGAGATAAAGGAGTGCCTTCCTCAGGTGGAGAGAGGTACTTCACCTAGGGGTCTCAAGACCTGCTTTAGGGGAAGGCCAGAAATGCC